CAACTTTAATCATACGAGCCATTTTCCTTAATAAATCGCCCTCTATCATCTATATCTACCTACCATCTACCTACCTACCTATCTATCTATATCTGTTATCTATCTCTGTTTATACCTATCGAGGGAAATGTCATCATCCATCCAGCTATCCATTCTATTGCTTCTGCCTCTCTGTACCTGAAAAAGCCATTTTTTAAAATCCTAATTCAACTCATGCATATTCATAAACAAGGTTATTAGCACATGAAGTGACCTAAGCAAATCATGCACACAAAAGAAATGTCAAAATGAGATACGAAAGAGAACATGTGTACTTTCAATTAATGGACATTCTACATTTTTAGAAATGGAATAATAGCTTCTTGAAGATAATGATTTTGAACATGAATTCATTTTATCATATAAAATTAGGATCTAAATAATATTTTGGAAATCGCCCTTTATAAATAAATGAGAGCAAGAAAAAAGAAAACTTTATAAGGATACTTTTCATGTTTCTCTGTCACTTCACAATTGACTCATTTGGTAAATAGTTATAAAGTTTTGATTTCCAATCTTAGCTAGGCATTCCATGCTGACCAGCAATCTAGATGATTCACTTCTTTTATAAACTTTGTTTCTAGTTTTCCATAGAGATAACCCAAATTTCATGGTATGTATGGCTTAAAACCCAGTCATTCTCTCCGCTGTAATAAGTACATGACTTTGAGTTCTCCTTCCCAGAGAAAAGTTTCCTTAACTTTTACCACCAAACCTGTGAACTATTATGTGTTTACAGATCCATTCCACTTTCTCTTTCTTGGGGTAAAGTGACAATTGTTTGGAATCCAAACCAGGCAGTATTCTAGCTTCAACCAGGCTAACCCTAACACCTTTCAGATACATAGGTGTATCCTTAAAAGTCTGAGTTTGACTATCCTAACGGTTTGGTCTCTTCATATTGGAACTATTATAGGAGAAAAAGTTGAACTTCTTTGTCTTCAGATCAAGCTATTTGATATCAATTTACTGACTACCCTAATTAATTCACTGAGATTCAGCCACTCTTTCTATATAATCTCATCAATTACTGTGGCTTCAATTACAATCAAATTTACTAATTCTGGTAACAAGCATGGCCCAGAGCTCCATATCCAGATGCCACACTGGATAACTTGGATAGACTGTAGAATTTGGAATTCAACAAGCCCAAAACGTCAACATATGCCTTTTACTCAAACTTCTTTCTCCTCTTGTATGTACATGACAGACTGGCATCAACCAATAGCTTAGCATAGGAATTTTGGAGTAACTTTCAAATTTTTCTTTCATATCTCTCCTCATTCCAATTTTGTCCAACTCTAGTTTATTCTCCATATGTTCAGACTGCTTTCTTCAATGCAGATCTAACGCTACTTAAAGTCTTGCAAAGACTTTCAGTGTTCTTCAATATAGTTAAGATTTTTTTAAAATATGAAACATAATTTAGTTAATTGGTTGTTTTTAAATGAAGTATTTATTATTTGATATATTTTTTTTCAATTTGACCAGAGAGAGACAGAGAGAGGGAAGGTGAGAAAGCAAGTAATCAGGTCCAAGACTTGAAACAGGATCATCCATGTGGAAGTCCAGCACCTCGACCACCATCCCACTTGCTGGCCCTGAGTTGAGATTTCTTAATAGAGCTTATAATCTTACAAGGACCTACGTGATCTGCTCCCTGGTGTCCTTTCAAATTTTATCTGTTATTTGTTTTCTTTCATATGTCACATTCTAGTTTTTCTGAGTTTCATAAGTTTCTTCAACTGCTTGCTCTTGTAATTACAGCCTCAAGTAATCTGTTTTATATTCTATATAGAAAATATTCCATCAATTGACTAGTACTTACTTCTCTTTCTGAAAAATTCTTGTCCAGGAAATATTTTCTGATTCTTTGAAGTATGGTCTAGATGTTGCTCTACATGAGAGAACAATACTTCCCCAAAATAGCACCAGTCATGTTGGGTTATAATGTCTCTCTTTCACTGAGAAAGGACCATTTATTCTATATATTTTCATATATCTCTTGTCTCTATCCTACAACAACTACTGTTATTAGTACATAGTATTTAATGATGACATAAAATAAGAATAAATTGTGCATATCATTTTGCTATAATTTGATATTAAATAATTTCTTGGAATGATTTCATAACTTTATTAAATTTTTAGAAATCTCCATGTTTCCAAAATGGCTAAGCACACCTGCATTCTTGTACTACGCCATTAAAACAGCATAATGAACAGTTTTTCAGAGTCTACAACAGCATACAGCTATAGCCTCTCTTTTCTCATCTCTGTACAAATGGAACATTGAAGTAGCTAAAGATAATTATTCCCTTCACTTCAATACCAACAAATATATATTACCTTCCTTCAGATCACGTGTCTATCTATACATGCATGCATGTGTGTGCATGCATGCACACCCCTTTCCCCCCACACACATACATTTTGTAGCTGTGGACATGGGAATTGCCATGAAAAACAACTAAAGGCTTTTAAGAAACCATAGTTCAAGGGCAAAGAGGGAAAGGGCTATGAATACTAAAATTAACTTGGTGAATTTGGCATTAGACTCAGGGATGATATATAACTGGATTGGTTTATCATGTTTTTTAAATTTCCAGAGTGCATGTGCACTTGCCAGAGACAGAGAGAGGGAAAGGAGACAGTACTCCAGAGTGGGCTGTGTTCCTGCCATAGTTCTTTCTCCTCTATCTCTATCCTGTCAGGATTTTAGGCACACATGTATATACAACTGGCATGTTTTTTGAAGTGACCGCTGAGAATGTCTGTATGGGATATGGCTCTTTAACCAACAGGCTATGAGGCCAGACCAGTTTTGTATTTTTTAAAACGTTTTTTATAAGTGTTTTGCCATAGGGTGTGTGTACTCATGAGAGAGAGAAAGAGTAAGAAAGAGGGAAAGGGAGTGATCACCTCCCAAGGGGATGGCTATGCTTAAATTCTTCTTCTTCATTCTCTTCCTGGAATTTTAGGCATACACACACACACACACATACACACACACACACCCCTGATGTACTTCAATTTGCCAGATCTGGGACTTGAACCTCTGTCAGCCATGTGGGAGTCTAGTGCCTTAACTGTTACAGCACTTGCTAGCCCTCAAACTTTTTATTTTGTAACAGACTCCGAGAATTTGCAGAAATAGTACAGAGAGTTTCCAGTAATCCTCTACCTAGGTTTCCCAGTGGTAACAGTTTATATAACCATAATACATTATCAAAAACCAGGAGGTAACTTACCATTTATTACTTTTCCTGATAGAAAGTATTCTTTTCCATGACTATGTCTTGTTTTTACTATGTAAAAGTAAAATTGACCAATTCAAATGCTATCTGGATTATATTATTGAGCACTGAATGTCTATCAGTGTATTATGTACTTAAATTTTAAAAATTAATAATACTAATATTTTCCCAATTTATAGATGATGAAACTGAGTCCTGTGCTTAAGACGGTACATGTAGTTAAGTACCAGGGCTATGTTTATGCAGTTCCCTATAGACTAAACCACCACAGTCAAATAATGAGTCCCTTCCAAAAATGCTTTCCAGTTCTGGAAGAGTTAAGAATTGATTATACATCTCTCATAATTAATTGGATGAAATTGCTTACACGCTTGCTTGCGTCTTATAAAACCTATCTAAGATTATCTCCCCCAGGAAAGGTGGGAAATAGAAAAAGAAAGAAGAAAGAGATCACTATCTTTAGCAGCCAAAGTAAAAGGTCAGGGGCATTAAGAATGAGAAAGTCCTAGGGGTGGGTTGTTTCTATGGTACCTGTGAATGAGGCTCAAGGAGGTAAACAGAAAAGTGGTAGGATATCTAAGGCCAGCATCAAATATCTCAGAATATTGCCCCAAACAAATCCTGGATCTAGAAAGCAAGATCAAATGTTTTCAGCATACTTTTTCCTCTCACACTGCAGTGCCTCCAAACTAGGGATCCAGACTCAAGACATTCTCTCACCAAGCACTGTAATCATTCCTTCCAGATTTTATGAGTCAATTTTAACTCTGATTATTCTGGTCTTATAGGTTTTAGATATAAAATATAAATATTCTAGACAGTTCAGCTTTATGCATTATTTTAGAAAAATTCTCAGATTTGTTCTCATTTTTTTACATCTGATTATTTCACGACAAGTATGACCCACATCCTAGCCCATGTCCCATATATCCATCCATGCTTTACCTTTTCCTCTACAATAAAGTCAGATTATTTAAATTGACTTTGTATTTCCTCTCAACTTTGAAGCAGCTTTAATGTTTTTTCTTTTATACTAAGATATATTTTGAAATCCTTACAACCGCTTTCTTTATTACTTTGGGATTTACACTGTTCAGAAGGTAGGAATTGCCTGTACTCTGGTTTGATTGTAAACACCTTAGCCTTTAAGCATCTTCTCTACAGAGTAGTTGAGAGTCGGGTATCCTCCACCATTTTATTTTCAGGATAGGCTGTATTGTACATGACAAAACGAAGTCTTCCTTCCTTCTGTTCTGTGCAAATGACTTAATTAATCTTTCATTCATATTAATGGAAGGCTAGGTTGCACCCAACTCTTAAAAAAAATTCTTCACTAAAGTTAATAACCTCAGAGAGTTTGCAAAGCTGGTATGAAATTTACAGAACAAAGCTGTGAAGAGCCACAGGCCTTCTCTAATAAAGACATTCCTTGTTTCTCCTTCCTAGTTTTGCTTACACAGCTTTATAAGCATTCTCTGTCTTGAGGGTACTAAGTCCATTCAAATGCTCTGGTTTCCTTCTAATTGCTTTTCTGTCACTGGCTAGTTAGCAGGTTTCACTATCTCTGTCTTTCGTTCTCTCTAGCTTTCTCTCTCTCACACACACACACATTCACACACACACACACACACACACACACACACACACACTCCCTTCCCCCTTTTCAGTATTTACCTCCATCTCAGCATGTCCATTTGCCTCAGGATGTAGGAAACACAGTACTCCTTAAAAAGCCAGCAGAAATGTTTATATCTGAACCTTCGTGCAACATTTATAAGCTCTGTCAGTGTCTCCTCTTTTCTTTGTGTTCTGTGATATTCAGCACTTTCTGCAAAGAATGTAATGGAAAAAAAAAAAAATAAGAAGATCAAGGGAGGTGCTTATCTTCAGTGACATGTCCAAACAGGCACTCTGGCCCTTTCTAATGTGCTCATCTAATTTGCTCCGGAGTCCAGGCCTGGAAGAAAAGCATCTTGAGGAAGTTTTCTTCCATGGGCCGAGCCATCTGCTAATGCCGGCCTGTGCCAGTAATTTACAAGTAATGGTTTACAGCTGTGAACCCTGGCTTCTGAGCTGTTTTGGTCATTTAGTAATTACAACAGTTTCATTAACATTTAAAGGGAATAGTCTGCTCAATATCAATTAGACACTATCTGCAACTGTGTAGCTCCATTTTCATATTTGCATTTGACATTTAATATTCTGCACACATAAATTCTTGGTCTTGGAAATGCACTGCCACAGAAGGTCAAAATTAATCCACAGCCCATTTCTACCTAGCTCTACTAAGCTTTAGGAAATATTTCTGCAGAGGGTAGGAACATAAAAGGTTATTTTGGGGCGGTTTTACACATCTGAACATTTAAGTACTTTTTCCACCACTAAAGTTAAGGTTAAAGAGTTCTTCTGGATTCCTGTTATATCTTCTGTATTCTGGGGAAATTCTAAACTTATCTGATTCAGATTTGCATAGTATTAAGCAGAAAGATGACATCTATTACTTGCAAATCTTACATAACTGCAGTGATATTTAACTTTAATATTTGAGGGTATGGGGTTTCTGTGGATTTCAACACTTAATAAATAAAACTAGACTATGACAAAAAAAATGTCTTCTTAAAATTATGTATATCTGGGACTAGGCCTTGATCTCTAATAAAATTGTTGAACAAAGGGGTGGTTTTGCTAGGGTTTATTTCAGAAGAAACAAAAGCCCAATAGTAATTTAAATTGCATGTGCCTGAAAGTGGTCCAAGGATTTGATGCCTGATGGTGGTTTTGATAGAGGATAGAGTGAGAAAGATGGGGCAAATTTCAAGTGAGTTAAAGGTCTTTAAGGGAGTAGAAAGTCAAAAGCGCCCATTGGGAGAGAGGGGAATGTTTTGAGATTGTTAGGTTCAGAGCACAGAGCAATTCACTAAGAATGGTCTGAGTGACAGAGGTTAAAAACAGTTTGAGCTAAACACGGGGACACTTTTTGACACTTGGTTTCCAGGATTTAGCTGTGATATGAAGTGAATCATGTAACATGTACCATTACTCTAAGGGTCAGAGGTAAGAAGAGCCAACTGAAAGAAGGAAGAGTGATGAAAAGAGTGTTGAAAGAGACTCCTCTGGGTCAATGAAGTGGGATTCCAGGCAGGAGGAAACCGTGACTCACAAGATGTTGTAGAATGTGTACCTTGAGATGCTTTAATAGGCTTTCATTTGTTTGCCTGTTATTCACAATCTATTCACTATTTTTTGCTACTCAAGCAGATCCAGTTACTTTAGGAATGTAGATAAAGTAAAAATCAGAAAGAAAATGTGTATTCCTAAGGCTTTTCACGTTAAGAAAGAAGCCACACTTTCCTGCCCCACTCCCCAGCACTTGAGTTTGAACCAGGCACTTGTAAGGAGGTAGAATGGAGCAATTTCAGCCTGTAGGGACATCTGATCAGAGCATTTCGATTGTCTTCAGAAATTGTAACACATAATGCACGCAATCTACCTAAAGAAAGATATTTTATAAAGTAAATTATGTTTCGGTTTCTGTCAGTATACACAAATCATGTTGTCTCATTTTTTTTCTTGGCTCCTCCAGAACTTACAGTGGTCTCCTATTGCTTATCAGATCTATCCAGAAGGCCTGATTTGTCTTGCCAAATATTTTATGGTCGGCCTCATATGCATACCCAGTTGGTTTATGTATTTGTAACTTTTTTTTCCTAACAAGAGTATTAGCTTCAGGAAGGCAGGGTAATAATCTTCTACATTTCTATCCTCACAGTTTCCAGCTGGGATCTAGGAAATTATAATTAGCTTTCAAAGTATGGACAGGCAGGGAAAATGGTAATTTGTGATCAGAACAAATCAATACAAATGAAAAAAAAGAATTAGTTTCCAAGGATGGAACTCAGAAGCATGACTTCAGTTCCTAAAATATCCAGAGCATAGAATGATACAGATAGAACGAGTTGGCGACCCAGATTATTAGGTGAACATGGAGCTTGGAATCAGATGGCAGTTATACCCCTTTGCTAGGCTGTCACATTAGCTATGTATTTGGTTGGCCCATAGTTGTGAAAAGGAGTAATTGGTATCTCTGTTTGGACTTCAGGCATTTAAGAGTTAAGTCCAGAAGGCCTGATTTGTCTTGCCAAATATTTTATGGTCGGCCTCATATGCATACCCAGTTGGTTTATGTATTTGTAACTTTTTTTTCCTAACAAGAGTATTAGCTTCAGGAAGGCAGGGTAATAATCTTCTACATTTCTATCCTCACAGTTTCCAGCTGGGATCTAGGAAATTATAATTAGCTTTCAAAGTATGGACAGGCAGGGAAAATGGGAATTTGTGATCAGAACAAATCAATACAAATGAAAAAAAAAGAATTAGTTTCCAAGGATGGAACTCAGAAGCATGACTTCAGTTCCTAAAATATCCAGAGCATAGAATGATACAGATAGAACGAGTTGGCGACCCAGATTATTAGGTGAACATGGAGCTTGGAATCAGATGGCAGTTATACCCCTTTGCTAGGCTGTCACATTAGCTATGTATTTGGTTGGCCCATAGTTGTGAAAAGGAGTAATTGGTATCTCTGTTTGGACTTCAGGCATTTAAGAGTTAAGCAAGTGACTGAAACCAGATCTTAACACTGGGGCGAGGGGGTATTTCTAAATAAGAAGAAACAAGAATAGAGGACTGGTGGTAATCAACATTATATCAGAAAGCTCTGTCAAGATCCCTGGCAGCAATGTTTTCAGCAAAGTCAGTACAGGTTACAGGTCAGGGTCATAGGGAAGTTTATGATGAAGAGGTTCTTCAGAAGGTAGTAAGGTTCTAATGCTGAAGCTTTAGTTGTGAAGACAGCATATTTTCTTCTTGGGAGAAACTGAAATAAAGGAGTCAAAGGTTTTGGAATATGAACAATAAGGAGAGAATACTCAAGATTCAGGAAACAGAATGTTAAGTCACAGCAGGAGTAACCGTAAGATTGCTTTTGAGCCAATGAAAGTGGACCCACGAGCATACCATGTCTTACTTGAGGATGAGCCCACATCTCAAATCTATAGGGCAGTGGCTTTGGCCATGATGGAGAGAGATCCAACATGATTTTAATAATAGCATGTTGATCAAAATGTAATTTCAATCATATAAGCATTTCAAAATGACAAAATCTGTGTTTAGTTTACATTTTTCTCTCTGTATTAATCAGGGTAACTAACTCTCAGGCTATATACATGTGTAAATCTCAGTGTGAATAGAGTTATGGCTTATGTCTTACGAGTCGTTCATAACTCTGAACTATCATCTCTAGGAACCTGGCTCTTTCTAGCTTTGGCTTCACTCTCCTCTGCATTCTGCACTGAAACGGGAGAGAAAAGGGAGGACCAGTGATTGCCCTTGGGTCAGTCATAAACAAGGCAAAACTCAGTAGCTGGGCCACAGCAAGTAGAAGTGGAGAGATATAATCTGTGCACACAATATGGAGGGAGATGGGACTAGTAAATAATACATGCATTCTCTGTGAAGTTATAGGATGAGGGTGACTAAGGAATGACATTTAATTTCAGGTTATTTCCACTGAAGAATTTGTTTCTATTTTTCTTTCTTTCTTTCTTTTTTTATTTTTTAGGTTTTTGCTTTAGGGTGTGCATGCTTGCCAGAGAGAGAAAAACTGTGAAAGGGAAAGTGAGAAATTCTCCCCCAGGGGGAATGGCCATGCCACAATCTCTTCTCTATTCTCTTCTCACAATCTTGGGCATGAACACACATGTTCTGGTGTGATATTGAAGCCACTGTGACTAAGACCCCAACCATGTTTGACCACGTGGGAGTTCAGCAACGTAACTACTATGCCATCTACTGGCTCCTCTATCAAAGAATTTTAAGGTAACTGTTATAATCCTGTGAATGGAGAGACTAAAGTTCAAAAAGTAAACATTACACAGGTAGTAATTATAGAGTTGAGACTGAAGGCAAGTCTTTTTGCTTTTCAAAAATCTACCAGCAGCCTTCGGTCTTTTAACATAATGAGGGGAAAAGTCAGATTCAGACAAACCTGAATCCATAATGTGCATTTGCCACTCACTTGTTAGTGTCTTTGAATGAATAACTTTGAAGCAGTGTCCACAACTGTAAAATGGAACATTTATATTTACAGTTTTTGTGATGACCAAATAAATATTACACTTTTTCTAAAACCTTCCTGAACATTGAAATTATCAGGGATTCTTACAAGATGTACAGATGTCTCAAGAACTTTACTCAAATTCTGATAAAATGGGTCTGAATTGAAGCCTGGGAATTTTTAATATAACAATGGCCCAGGATAGCTTGAGAAACACTGAGTCAAAATACATGTATTAGCACAGCTTTCATCACCCAAGTTAGAGCTAAATGTCTGTTCCTGTTGTTACTGAGGTTGCTAGCCTTGTTACTGATACTTCCAAGTATAATTTACTCCAGAAGTCCTTATCACTACTGACTGTCTATGTATCAAGCTACTCCTGTTAGTTTATGTTGCATACTTCTGAGCAACTTATTAATTACTTTTATAGTCTGGTGATATTGAGTGGAATATTGTCTTTCAGGCAGACATTTTAACATGAGTATGAGCCCTTAGTTGCAAGAATCAGAGACAAGGTCTGGCTAATTAAGTAGAAACATACAACACAACAAGTGGTTCAGAGTCTCTAGTAAGGGGAATGAAGGGGACTAGAGAAGAAGGAATTTGTTCAATATTTCTCACTTCATGATTCTAAAAAGATTCCACTGTTGCTGACCCAAACAGCACCCCTTGGTGCTATAATGTCACCCAAAATGGATTCAAGTTGCTACTGG